CCCACACACACCCCCACACACCCCCAATAAGCCATTTGGCTGAGTCTTCTGCTGAGTTCTGCTATGTCCAGATTTCACTCTCTGCATTTGAGGGGCCACACTTTTTGAGCACATCAGTTCTACAGCTCACAGAAAGCTGCATAATTACGGACACTAAAATACCGTGTGTCACGGTTTGTTCCCGGTGAAAAGCGCCCTGTAGCTTTGAGAGTCTGAAAATAACCAGGCTGTGAAAATTGGAACCATTTTTTCACATAGCACCAAACCAAAATCCCCTGTTACTTTATCCTCTCCCCAACTGTATTTTAAAATCAGCCAGCTTTTGGTGGCCTCACACTTTGCACTGGTTCTAGGATGCACAAGCAGGAGTATGTCAAGCCACCCCAAAATTCCCTGTGCATCCCGTATCGTCAGCTCAGGTGCCTCAGGGAAGTCTATCCACTTTGCTTCACTGAATTGCAAGCAAACCTTGAATTCTTCATTTTGTAATACACCATAACAAGCCTTGTGAAGCAAATATGGATGAGATGGGATTTGCAGTTATGATGTGATTCTGGAGCGCATCTTCACCTGGCTTTGCCTGACACAACTCTCTGGAGCCTTCTGGTCCCTGAATACCAGCATCCTCTGGCAGATACCACAACACAGCATCCTGGCCTAGCAGTTACTGTTCTCCAGCACATCAAAACAGCAGCATGAACAATTGTAAACAAAGCTTAACCCACAGAGAAAAAAGACCATTTAATAGAATGTGCTGGCAAAAGCACGTCTCAAAAAAAGCTGAAACCAGGTAGTTGAAACCGTTAGTGGAGTGGGGACCATAACAAAAATGGCCACAGTTGTAACAGATTTGAATATTCACAACGTGACATTTTGCATGTAATCTTTAATGTTCAAACAGTAGAAATGACTAATTTTAAATTAGGGTTACAAAAAAAAAACCTTTCAGTGAAGAAGCATTGCAAGAGTTGAGACGTAGAAACATCTTTCTTCCAAAAGCCAAAAGATTTTTAACCGAGCACTGCAAATACTTAGCCACTTGTGTAACTCTGCGTAAGTATCACACCATTCAGGTTCTTTTACAAATATGTCAGTTAGTGTTTCAGGGGGCAAAGGATTTGCAATCAACACTTGAAGAGAAAGAGAAGTAGGAAAGAGAAGTGTACAAAAAAGAAGGGCAGTGATGGGAGCCCTCATCTTGTGTGCTCAGGTGCAGAAGCTTGTAAAGATTTAAAGCTGATATGAAAACTTCACGAGAGACCAGTCTGGTTTTATGACCAGACAATCCTCCCTTATAATCAGGTTGATGAGTGGTAAATATTCACCAGCCTGGGGGAGCTGGCGGGGTGATCACAACATCAAGTGTCCTGCGCGCCACTGCTGTTCAAGGTGCTCGCAGTGCAAATACTTGCTCACCTACATCACAAGTGAGATATCGCTGGGATTCATAGGAGGGGAATGATTTAATTTGGAATTTCTCTTTATAAAAAATCTCAGAGATAGAACAGAGTATGGAAAAGAGTACCCAACCAGTTTTTCAGGGACAAAGTATGGACAGATAAGATCTGAGCTATAGCTTATTTGCTTAGTAGGGTAACTCCTGAAGTCCCACCTTGGATTTGAATCAGACAAGCCACTGCATCCATTCCTGTGGAAACACATGAGTTGGGGCTCGGTCAAAACAGACACAGGTCATTATCTCGGGATCCATGTGGAGAGAGAATCATCCTACTGTGCTATGTGCCATCTTGTATGGCACCATACTATAAGCCCCTCAAAGGTCAGTTCTGAGCTAGCTGAAGGACAGGGAAAGGGAGAATAAAAATCTTGCTGCACTAAGAAATCCCCCAGGGGATTTCCTCTATGGGCAGCAGAAACTGTGGGATGAGACAGATCTGCAAGACCTGAGATGGTGCAGGGCAGAGGGGACAGATAACCTGAGGAGGAGGGGAGCACCACAACTCAGGAGGAATGTACAGCAGTGCGTGTTGACCCCGCTCTGTCTTCCAGCACACCTTCTTCTTACACACCTGGAGTGTCCACCTCCTTAGCCTGGCTTTCTGTGCAGGAGGGTAACTTGGCCCAAGTAGATACGTCAGGATTTGACTCTTAGAATTGCCAGGCTCCCTAGGACGCAAAGCCTGTTTCAGTCTTATTTTGATACAACCCAGGCAGTTATACTTAGTATGCAAACTCAAAAAAAAAAGTTATTTAGCCATTCTAAACACTCAGATTCAACATTGCCATGTACTTAATTTTTTACTATAGTAGGTGACTGGTTTCACAAAAAACACTGTTTAGAAAAGAAGTGTACTAAAAATACTTTGAGAATTTTAGTGCTCATGAAAAAATACCTTTCATCCCTGCAGACTGAAATCTTTTGCCTCCAGAATTATGGCAGGGACAACAGAGGTGATGATAGCACAGACTCATCTCTGCCACCCCAACTGCGTGTCTCAACCAGCCCTGACTGCAAGCCAGCCCTTCTGGGGCTATAACTAGGTGAGGTCTAGGAAGAATCAGGTTAGTTTCTTCCTGATTCGTCCCATATTTGACCATATTGCTGGGGAACAAGATTAAGATAATAAATCTCACAAAGCCACAGCATGGCTGTCCCAATTTCACTAAGTTTTGATCACTCCTATGCTGGACATACTGGATTTGATTACTGTTATGCAGTGACTCAAGCATGTCTAAGAAGTGCTAGGCTTGCCTGCAGGCCATGTATTATATGGATAGGACGATTTGCTTCTGTGGTTAGCTAGAGGAAGAACTTCCAAAATATGCAAACAAAATGTCAGGATTTTACAACATATACAAGAGCCTTTTAAATAGAATACACAGTAGTCAGATTTTATACATGAAGTTCTTAAAGTAAAAAAAAACCTCCACATGGACAGACATTTCAAGAGGTGGGGGTTGACCCAGGCAGAAGTTTGTCTTTAAATAAATGCAGACAAACCAACAACTGAGGAACATCATCAACAGCAACAAAATCAGGAGAGCTGTTATCTGCAGATCTCCAGGCTAGGCCCACTCCAGTCCCGGCTAGCAAAGTCCAAAGATAGGCTTGTGAATAAGGGCATGTACCTGCACCTTTCTTTTTTCAAGATAGCGCCCATGTGTGTTGAGGGGGAGCAGATCAGGTAGAGTGCACATCTCTCACTAGGGGCACCTGCACTGTGGTCCTGCCAGGAGTCCTTTGATTCAGCTCCTATTCTCTCTGCCGCAGTATCTTTGTGCAAAGACAGAAAGAACGAACGCGGGCAAAACCACTGCTGATGGTCCTCAAAAGATCTTGCACTCGTTAATGGAGAAGAGCTTCCTCCTGTTCTGCCTCTTGGCTTGATTGACTGCTGTCCGCACGGCGTACTCAAACACCTGCTGCACCCCTCGGTTGCTGAGGGCAGAGCACTCCAAATAGCCTTTGGCTCGCACTTCCTGGGCGAGCCGCTTCCCATCTATCGGGCTGATGCAGGAGGAATGGTAGGGCCCCATGTCGCGCTGGTCAGTCTGAGTAGCCACTACCAACACGGGGATGCGGGGCAAATGGCTGCGGATCTCGCCAATCCATTTGTTCCTCAGGTTCAGAAAGGAATTGTGGTTTGCCACCGAGTAGCACATTAATACCACGTCTGCCTGTTGGTATGAGAGGGGGCGAATGCTTTTGAAGGCATCGCTGCCAGATGTGTCCCAAAGACCTAGGCTAATCTGTACACCATCCATGAAGACATCCACTCCGGTATTTTCGTATACGGTGGGTCTGTAGTCGTCTGGAAAAGTCTCGGAGGTGAAACGTACCAAAAGAGATGTTTTCCCCACCGCGGAGTCTCCCACCAGGACACACTTGATTGAATCCAGCATTTTATTAACGTCCAGGGCCGAGAGCACTGCCTCAGCACAGCAGGAGTGGGATGGAGAGATGTAGTGGTCTTGGGGGCTCTCTAGATAACTTCCATTTGGTGAGAAACCATTCAAGTCCCTTTACTTCTCAAGGCTTGATTGTGTCACTCGAGCCTAAAATCCCCTTTTCTCTCACACGGCTCTGTGGTGCTGTCAGTTTTAATTCTTCCGTGAGTCAAATAATGTTTCTGGAAAAGTAAAATTAAAATGTAACATTTATAACCCACAGAGAACAGACCATTCTTCATCAAGATAAAGCCACCTGGACATGTCTTTGAACAGCCATGGGGAGTACCCCACATTGAGGATGCTGAACCTTGCCATTCCCTCCCAACCAGCTGTGTGTGTAGCAGCCATTCACTTAAATAACCTTCTTGCTGCTCCACAGGGGCTAACAGTCCCATCACCTCTGCCATTCTCCACTGACACCAACTATTTTTTCCCTCCAATTGTCAAAAAAACTAATAAAATCAATTTAACTTTGGTATAACTGCTACTAACCTGCTTTTAGTGAGACATTTCCTGCCCCTGACTTTCACCAAACTGCCAAAATCCTGAATCCCTCTTAACTGATCAGTTCACATTCCCTTGGAAAAGTACCCATGCTCTCCAGAGGTAGTCAAGAGAAAAAAAAGCCCTTCACTAACTGATTTGACTATTTAAGTAATCCTATAATGAACAGTAACACAGAACTACTTGTGACAATGAGGAAGCAAAGACTTCAGGTGTGAATGTTGAGCAACATGAACCTTAACAGTTTTCAAAAGCAATGAAGTATTCACAGCAAAAATACAAAAAAGTTCAAATTGTTTCTTACAAATCACTTTGAGCAAGCAAGAAGCACAAGCCAAAGAAAGCCACACCACCAGCGCTTGCCTCAGTCAAACAATTTCATTTGAAGGGGATACAGCTGCCCTGACATTTACTCTGTTGTAAAACTGAACTGAGAGTACCTCTTCAGAGTATGTAATTGCTTTTGAGCTCCTGCCAGCATTCAGTCAAATTTTCCTATTTTGAAAGCATTTTCCTCTTCCCCACTAGCTGTGTGCAGGATTCACCGCTCACAAGATGCTATGAAAATCAGTAACTGCAAAACTGAAGGCAAATTAGTTCTGCTCAACAAAAGTAATTTTAAAAAGTATCACTGCATAATTTCAAAATGTCCTGTGTATGTTACACTAATAATATATTTCTGCCTCCTTCATGTACGAAGAGAGAAGTCACAGCTTAAGGTTAGTTGCATAGAAATGAATGGTGGCCACAAAAAGCGTATACTCTATGTTCCTGTAATGCTCTCCAGTTTCATTACCCTAGCCCCCGCTACCACCACTCCACCGCCCAATTTCTAGTACGCTCAAAGCTTTGGCTTACTCCACAAAGGGGAAAAACAAAGGAAAAGAAGAGAAAAGCGCTAGGTGAGCTTAGAACATTTTACAGGCACCGACAGCTGCTACTGGCAAATGCCCCGCTTTCATTTTGTAGTGAGGCAGTGCCCTACCTCCTCTCGTGCTGCCGGGACACCTGCATCTGTCCCACCCGATGCACCAGCCGAAAGAAGAGTGTCAATGGCTTGGCCGGAGCACGTTTTATAGAGGTGGCACCAAGCGGGGCAGTCCTCATGCGTACTCGAGTTACGGGTATCTAGAGAAGTCATTGCAACAGACGGTGCTTCCTGGTCTGCCAGCGCAACCTCAGCTCGCTTCTAGGAAGTGGGATGGAGGCCGAGGCCGAGGCCACTTCACGGC